ATAAATTTAATTGCCTTAATAATTTTATTAATGTTCATAACTACACTCACATGTGAGTTGCAATTGAAATTTCTTTGGTACTTTATAAAAGTTTGAACTATTGCATGGTTAGTATTTTATTAAATTATACCATTTAAATTATTAAAGTTGGAGCATATTGATCTGAATGCCTCCTAATGCATTAAGTTTGTGGCTTATGAGCGGAAAGGACTAATAATTTGATAATATACGGACATGACATTAACAATTTTCAAACCTTTTATTGGTAATTTTGACGTGAATCAATCGTGCACACATGGATAAATCACGCAATATCTTTAGCAAATGTTTTAGGAGTTAAGGACTTGAACATTGGATCATTATTTTTTTGGTGAAATTTGAACGTTTATGTTGGAATTTTTTTTTTTTTTTCAAATTCTGAAATAGGTGAAGAAGAGGTTTGACAAAAGTGGGCTATCTCATATTATATGAGTAATAATTTTCATATCAAATTTGAAAATAAAATTTTGGTTAAATCCCCTATCCCTTTAATTCTATTGTTTAATTAAAACTATTTAGATAGTATTAGTTTTAAAACTATGGTTTACTATTATAGAAATAAAATTAATTAGACACTTACTTTTATTTATTTTAAGACTAATATTTTTTGAAGGAATTTTAAGAGCACATCATTAAGTCGATTTGGTGTATTAAAAAAAAATTAATATTCTTAAGTGCTGACATGAAAACTTGAACTCTAAATGTGACCTACAAAATGATACTTGTATATTAGTGAATCCAATTATTTGACTTATTATATAATATACTCTTAATCTATACCATAAGGTTATAAATTTCTTTCATTAAAAAAATTATAAATTAAAAAAAAAATTATTTGCGAAAGCATCCACTTATGGACAACATTCAAATGAGAAGAAAATGAATATGGCTAGTAAGGAAAGTGATGGTCAAATGCCAATACTAATCAAAGTGACCGGAAGTCCCCACTCCCCACGTCAAATGAACCGGAAGCACGGCAAACGCATTGCCTATTTTCAAAACAAAATGAAGCACGCCAAATGACGACTTTGAAGATCCACGCCAAATTTCAAAACCAAGGAAGAACCAATTCACATTCCAATACTATTCAATGTATCCACTAAAACCTTTGACTAATACCATTCAATGCATTGCCTATTTCTGAATTCGACACCAGCTCATACTAAGGAAACATACTATTATTTTACACCATGTAGAATTAATTCATCATAATAACCACCTGTGCTACCAGTTCTTTCTCACCTTTCTCCCAAATGGAAGATATGAGAGATTCAATTGCAATGCTACGGATTGTGAGGAGGGTTATCAATTTTCATCCATTATTAACAATAACCAGTTTTATCTATCGGGTAATACTTTTACAAGATTGGATTGAACGTGAGGTGAGCAATCAATGGAAAGCTCTCAAGGTGCATTTCCAATCGACAATGAGATCTCTGCTAGATCCTATTATTGAGAAGATGAAGAATCTATCGAAAGCGCTTGAGATGCATCTCCACAATGAAGCAGCAAAGGGTCAGCTAAAAGCCAAACTAGTTGGTAAACTTGCCTTGTTCTCCACCATATTTCTTTTACTGAATACAGAGTTAAGTTCAAAATATGATAGAAGAGGAATCAAAATGCAGTTATTGATGCTTATTGGCCTTGGCCCATTAACACATCCAAAACATTGGAGTCAATTTAAAATTCTTCATGGAAGGTGCAGCTGCATGGTAAATTCAACATCAAACTTCACCTTCTTTACTATAGCACTTCTTTTTGCAAAATTTTATGATAATTCCTTGAGGGGCCTCAGTGCTATGTTGTGCATCTCAATTTTTCTTCTATGTGTACTAGTGGTATTACAACCGCAAACAGACTTTGGGTTGTTTAGTTTTATCATTGGAGTCGTTGGATCTATTACTTACAATTGTTATGGGTTGAAGTTTCCCACATGGATAATTGCTTCCATTTGTTTTGTATTATTCAGTTTCAAGAGCTGGTTAGATAAGTACTGGTTGGATTTGAAAGAAGATCTTGGTACAAATACCACAACTGAAAGTGTTAGTGTGTTTTTTATTTTTTCATCAACTGCTTTAAAATTTGCACTTAGTATCTTCGGGTCTTCTACTGTCAAATTTCCCCTATCTAACTATAAAAGGTGGTTAGTTACGGCAAACGTTATTGTGCTTCGAAGTCTCCATAAGTCCTATCATAATTCCAAAGATAGCTCAATGCCCTCTACAAATACCAAAGGAATCAATGGTTTGATTTTGATGGTTGTAACTATTGCACATGCCATGTTCAACTTTGCTCTGATCGCATCTCCCATGGCCAATTATAAACATTGGTTATTTGCAGTAATCAGTTATATCATTTTCTGTTTCTGGTTACGAAGCTCTTTTCCCAAAGATATGTTTCCGCCCTTTACAAATACCAAAGGAATTAAAGATAAGATTTGGGCTATTCAATCTATCGCCAAATATGGTATTGTGGTGTTGGCTGGTTTCGAACCCCGAGTGTACTATAGAGAATGGCTGGTTATGGTAACCTATTATGTGCTTTGGTGGGTTCAATGTGATACATCATTTCCCAAAGATCTGTCACTGCTGTTCAACACAATTGAATTTAAAGCTCAATGGTGGATAGTGATGGTATTTGTTCACATTTTTCCAGATGTTATCTCTTGGATCAAACTATCTAGAACAACATATCATCAACAACTACAAAGATGAAAATGTTAGACACTAGCTTAAATCATAGTAACTACTTAGTAACATGAAAATTTTTATATTCTTGTGTCATCTTCTTTTCAAGTATATGTTTGTATCCAATGTCCTTATTAAAATCAACCAATCATCTGAAATTTTTAGCCATTTGTGTTTTGTTCATTTGAATTTGTTGCTGTAAGTCTTTTTTTATATAAATATCAAAATAGCACACTTTTATCTTATTTTAATTTAAGGAGAATGGTTGTTTTCCATCTAATTTGTACATACTAAAATAATTAGATTCTGTACAACCTATAACTGGGATGAATTTAACTAACCATATAACTCAGGTATTCACCATATTGTTGCCCCGAGTAAAGGTGCAAATAAGGATTCTAACTTTGCACTTTTTTTTATTTAAGGATGTCAACTTTCAATTTTTTCTAAATAAGGATGTTAACTCTGTCAGTTTCTAAATAAGGATGTCAACTTTCAACATTTTCTATTTAAGGATGTCAACTTTCAACTTTTTTTATTTAAGGATTAATTGAATAGTGATGCTGATGTGGCTAACATATTTTTTAGGTTAAATACCTAAATTGGTCCCTCAACTTTTATTTTTGAACCAATTCATCCTTGAACTTCAAAAAGTACAAAAAACGTCCTTCAACTTCAATTTTCAATTTCATCTTTCCGTTAGTTAAACGTTGATAGAGCTAATTTTTTCACTACGTGATTGACTATTTTACATTTTCAATATTACGTGGAAAATCCATCATGTAAAAGATGATTATATGGATTTTTTTAATTTTAAATAATTTACAAACTACTTTAATTCTTAATTTTACTTTATTTATATTTAAAAA